CAGTTTTAGCTTTCAATTTTCTTTTGAAAATCCACTTGTACCCAAGAGGTTTACAACCTGGTGGCAAGTCCACTAATTTCCAAGTGTGATTTTGCAAGATGGATTCAACTTCACTGTTGACAGCTTCTTTCCATAAAGGAGCTTCAGGACTGGACATAGCCTCTTTAAAAGTTAAAGGCTCATTTTCTAACAAATATGTTAGAAAATCTGGACCAAAAGATTTTGAGGTTCTAGCACGTTTACTACGCCTAAGTTCCTCTTCCTCATTTTGATCTAACTCTTGTTCTTGATCATATTCTTGATCCTGACTAGTAATAGCATCAAAAGATCTTTTATGAGTACTAGTCTCTTGTCCAGTCTTCTTTGGAAATACATGTTCAAAGAAAGATGTATTCCGAGATCCAATAATAGTATTTACATGCATTTCGGAATGTTCTGATTTATGAATCAAAAACCGATATGCACTACTATTCTTGGTATAACCAATGAAAATGCAATCAATGGTCTTAGGACCTATCTTAGTCTTTTTAGGACTAGGAATAGCCACTTTAGCCAAACTGATGAAAGTATAGCTTATAATCAGACTCAGCAGCAACAATAGTCCAAACAGTTCCAAGTTCTGCAGCAGTTCAAACAGCCATCATCATCAGCCACATCCACGTGTGAGAAGCTGCAAGCAGAGTCTAGTGATAACATTCCATATCCATTATAATATCTGTTAGATATTGTTGTAACTGAATTAGTTCAGCAGTTAGTTAGTTAGTTAGAGTTAGAGTTAGTATGATTAGTTAGAGTTAACTCATCATGGTTAGTCTTGAGATTGTTGTATAAATACTTTACATTCATCTGTACAAAGTGTAAATGAAATAAGATCTCAAATCTTCTTTATGGTATCAGAGCCATATATTGCTCTCACGAGTTTGAAGGTCCATCAATGGCGACCTTAACTTCTTCTCAGCTTCCCTCAAATCTTTCACTTCTTATCTCCAATCTAAATTCGTTTGTTACTGTCAAGCTTGATTCTTCCAATTTCATTATCTGGAAAAACCAATTTCACAACATTCTCAGAGCTACTGGTTTGCTCTGTTATGTTGATGGCTCTACTGCACCTCCTCCTCAATACATCAGAGAGGTACCGAATGATGCATACACTCAATGGATGCTTGTTGATTCACATCTTCTGAGCTGTATTACAGCTACGTTATCCTCAACAGTGTTCACCACAGTGTTTCATTGCAAGACTAGTTATGAAGTCTGGAGTACACTTGAGAAACGTTTTACTTCTCTCTCAAGGTCTCATATTCATCAGCTCAAGAACATGCTTCATAATGTTGTCAAAACATCCTGTTCAATGGAAGAATATCTCTCTCAGATTAAAGCTTTGTCTGATCAATTGGCTATGGCTGGTTCACCAGTTGAAGATGAAGATCTGGTCCTTCTCACATTGAATGGCCTTCCTGTTGAATATAATGCTTTTAAAACCACAATTCGAGCAAGATCTGAAGCCATCTCCATGAATCTGCATGTGGCTTATTCCACTCAAGGTTCTTCTCAGAAAAATTCTACTCCGTCTCGCAATTTTTTTGGACATTCTCAAGTTAGCAGAGGAAATAAATCTGGTGGTCGATATTTCTCACGAGGAAGAAGAGGTCGAGGTTATAACAACAATTTCTCTGGCTATCAAAATTCCTCTGTATCTAACAACAATGCTTCTGGTTATATTTTCAATGACAAATCTTCTGTGATTTGTCAAATTTGTGGCAAACACAATCATGTTGCTCTCAATTGCTGGTACCGAATGGATACTTCCTATCAGTCTACCAACACTAAGACTTCTCCTATTTCATCTAACTTTCAGAAAACTTACCAGAATAAGGCCTACCTTGCTTCTGGTTCTTCTCCATCAGACAATTGGTTTTTAGACTCTGCAGCCACTAGTCATGTTACTCATGATCTGCAAAATTTACAATCCTATCAGCCATATGGAGATGGTAATGCCTTGCCTATTCAGCATAAAGGTACTGGTATTTTACCAACTCCTTCTACAAATTTTGCTCTTACACAGCTTCTTCATGTTTCTAAAATTTTTGCAAATCTCATCTCAGTTCATCAATTTGTGTCTGATAATCATTGTTCTATTACTTTTGATTCTTCTGGTTTTGTGATTCAGGACAAGAGTAACAAAGCTATTCTTTATAGAGGTTCTAGCTCTCATGGCCTCTATCATCTTCCAGCTGTTCTTCCTAGGTCTTCTTCTCATCAAGTTTGCCTCAACACCACTACTGCTCCTTCCACTTGGCATGCTAGCTTAGGCCATCCTTCTTTACATAAAATGAAATTGATTTGTAATAAACTGAAACTACCTCAGACTGTTTCTAGTTCTTCATTTCCTTGTAAACATTGTTGTATGGCCAAAAGCCATCGATTACCATTTAGTTTGTCTACGACTTCTGTTAATAAGCCATTGGCCCTTATTCATAGTGATGTATGGGGGCCATTTCATTCTGCTTCTTCCATTAAATACTATGTTTTGTTTGTTGATGATTTCAGCAAATTTACTTGGCTTTATCCTTTACATGTTAAATGTGAAGTTTTTACAAAATTCATTGAATTCAAAGCTTTTGTTGAAAATCAATTTACTGTTAAATTGCAAATTCTTCGCACTGATAATGGCACTGAATATCTGGGACTTAAATTTCAAGAGTTTCTTCGCACTCATGGTATAGATCATCAATTGTCTTGTCCCTATACACCACTATAGAATGGTGTTGCCGAAAGGAAACATAGACACATCATAGAAACCACTATTGCATTGCTTCAGTAGTCTGGTGTTCCTCTTGCTTATTGGTTTGACATTGTTGCCACTGCTGTATATCTTATCAATCGCATGCCCAGCTCTAAGCTTCACAATCAGTCTCCTTTTGAAATGTTGTTTCATCAATTACCTGACTATCATTTTCTTAAACATTTCGGTTGTCTGTGTTTCCCTTGGCTCAAGCCATATGCTCATCATAAGCTTCAGCCCCGATCTATTACTTGTGTTTTTCTTGGCTATATACCTTCAGTCAAAGGATATAGGTGTCTTGATTCCAGCACTGGTCACATTTATGTTTCTAGGCATGTTGTTTCTCATGAGAATACCTTTCCTTTTCTTGATTCCTCTAGCCAGGTTCCTTCTTCTTCCTTGTCTCAGTATAAATCTTTCTTTTGGCCATCTTGTTCTCATTCCACATCAGCTATACCTTCTCCTCCTCCATCAGCTACACCAGCACCAGTTATTTCTCCTATTTCTTTATCCACTGCACCAGCAGCAGCACCTGTTTCTTCCACATCTCCATTGCCTGGTTCTTCTCCGTTATCTTCTTCCTCTTCACCTGCTATTCCTATTGATTCTTTGGTTGTTGATCTTCAGTCCTATTCTCTTCCTTCTTCTCCTATTGCTCCTTCTCTTAATATTCATCCAATGGTTACTCGGTCTAAGGCAGCTCATCCTATCTTATCTGCCATTACTTTTACTGCTTCTACTGATTCTGAACCAAGTTCCTATAAAGAGGCTGCTTTGTCTTCTGCCTGGATCAAGGCCATGAATGAAGAGTTTCCAGCTCTTCAATCACAGTCCACTTGGACCTTGGTTCCTCTACCTCCTACTAAACAGGCTATTGGATGCAAGTGGGTATTTCGTCTCAAACGTAATTCGGATGGTACCATTGCTCGCCATAAAGCTCGTCCTGTAGCTAAAGGCTATCTTCAAGAAGCAGGTTTAGACTATCATGAAACATTCAGTCCCGTTGCTAAACAGCCCACAATCCGTATTTTACTTTGCTTGGCTCTTCATTATAATTGGCCAATTAAACAACTTGACATCTCCAATGCATTCTTGCATGGTGTCTTGGATGAAGAAGTTTATATGACTCAACCTCAAGGTTTTGTTGACAAGTCTAAACCGCAATTTGTCTGTAAGTTGACTAAAGCATTGTATGGTCTTAAACAGGCACCTCGTGCTTGGTATTGTACTTTTTCCAGCTATCTTCTTACAAATGGATTTGTTGTTAGTTCATCTGATTCTTCTCTGTTTATTCAACACACTGCTACTACCATGACTGTGTTACTCGTTTACGTTGATGATATCCTTATTACTGGAAATAATTCTGCTCATATTGCCTCTCTCATTGCCCATATGCACTCTGCTTTTTCAATGAAAGAATTGGGTCTTATCAACTATTTTTTGGGTGTATCTGTGACTTCTTCTTCATCTGGCTATTTTCTTTCTCAATCTAAATATACTGCGGAAATTCTTACTAAGGCTGGCATGGCTGACTGTAAATCAGCCCCTTCTCCCATGTCTGTCAAGTCCTCTTCTCTGTCTTCTGCAACTATGGCTTATTCCAATCCCTCTCTCTATCGTAGTATTGTTGGTGCACTTCAGTATTTGACAATTACTCGTCCAGATATCTCCTTTGCTGTTAATCATGCTTGCCAAACTATGCATGCTCCTACTGAGGCTGATTTTGCATCTGTCAAACACTTGTTGCGGTATCTTAAAGGCACCCTTCATCAGGGTCTGTCCTTTACTCCTGGTCCTCTTGAGCTTCATGCTTTCTCTGACTCCGATTGGGCAGGTAGTGTCCATGATCGTCGCTCTACTACTGGCTACTGTGTCTTTTTAGGTCCTAACCTTATCTCTTGGTCTGCCAAGAAGCAACCTACAGTGTCTCGTTCATCCACTGAGGCTGAGTATCGAGCTCTTGCTCAGGCCGCAGCTGAGTTGAGTTGGCTTCAAATGGTTCTTACTGATTTACACATTGCTCATCCATGTCCACTTCTCTGGTGT